TCATCGAGTGGTGTTTGAAATGTCTCTACGTGTGAGATTTTAAATGCATCTGAATTGCTCCAGCACTACCGTAGCTGTTTTACATCCTGGCCCCTGGCACACAACTATCAAAAACCAAACAATTAAACAGGGTTTAAATGAGATGCCAGTCGTGCATGTGGGAACTGTTTGAGGACACAAAACTTACAACTTGCACTTCTAGAATTGTGCCTTCACTGCAGATGATGTAAATCTTCAGTTTTATCACATCTCGTAGGTGACCTGCTGGATAGAGATTGGTGACTATAGAGTCATTTGAGTATAGTGAACTTGTTGTTATGTTCAAGAAACCAAATTCTGACCCTACCATCTGTATCTCACTGCTGACATCAGGACTCATCAAACCAGTCAACCTTTTTTCAATCTTTTGTTGATCAGTTTTGCTTATCCAGTGTGAATTCTTGCCTCCGTTTTCTGTTCACAGCTGACAGTAGTGTCTTCTTCTTTCAATTCAATTCATCTTTATTTCTATAGCAAGATTTACAATGTAGATTGCGTCAAAGAAGTACATACTGTTGATGAGGAAAATAAAATATTATCCTCATTCCTGGTTTTGGAACATTCCAGCAAGTCAGGCAGGAGAGTTGGGGTAGAATGCTGTATAGTTCTGGTCAAATTAAATCGGGTTCAGTTCAGTTAAGTTCAGATCAGTGTAATGCAAATCTTCCAGCTGAAGGCAGATCCTCTGAAGAGTAACTCCACTGCTCTACCTGTCCCAACCAGGCAAACCTGAGGTGCCAGTGGTAAGAAACTAAAACTCCACTAATTGATGAAAGTGATGAACAAACCTTAGGAAAAGCCAGGGTGAGCAGTTCTCCTCTGGCCAAATGTCTTGAACAGAGCTGCAGTCTGGACATTGGAGGATTGAGAATGATCGTGTAGAAAATGCAGGTTATTAAAGTAGGTCAACAGGTCGGTGTTCAGATTAGCCAATGGGATCAATGCGGAGACTTGTCTTTCACTTGAGTCTTTACGACTCGTCAATGACCATAACAACCATCTACTCTGGATACGGGCTGCATTCACATTTTTCCCTCAGGAAAAAAAGCAGACTAACAAGCCTTAAATTCCATTCAAATTAAAGTGTCTTTTGGGTAGTGTTCCCAGCTTCTTCAACGTCATCTTTGTCTTCTCCTTCTTCTTCTGCTGCTGTTGTTGCTCATCTGATTCAAAGTACGAGGTGTTGAGTGTTCTGACATGCTCTTCTGTACACCTGGTTTCTTTTTGGCAATTTTCTTTGCTTTCAGCTTGAACCTACTTGTACTCCTCTTGCATCAGAAGGCATTTTGGCCCACAAAATAGCTGACTAGATAATTTTTTATATTTTTTCCGCTTAAATAATAGTGTCCACTGTTGTCTGTCATCCTAAGGCCACTGGGTGGCGTTGAGCCCGGGTAAAGGGTGTCTTTAATTGCTGCAATTGTTGTTATTATTATTATTCTCTTAAATAAATAAAACTTTGCACAAACACCAGAAGGGGCAAAAATTGACATTTGTTAAAGGTTTGGAAGTGTGTGTGGCAAAATGGTTCGACAGCATCACCTGTACCAGTGTGTCCAAACTCGGTCCTGGAGGGCCGGTGTCCTTCGTATTTTAGTTCCAACCCCGATTAAACACACCTAAACCAGCTAATCAAGCTCTTTCTAGGTATTCTAGAAACTTCCAAGGAGGTGTTGTGGAAGCTAAACTATGCAGGACACCGACCCTCCAAGACCGAGTTTGGAAACCCCTGACCTATGCACTTTTGATGAAGTCCCGAGCTACATGTCACACACTCATACAAAAATTGGCACACACATTAAGCATGCCAATACCTACTATAGTTAAGTTGAAGAAGTTTAGATTTCCCCTTTTTGGCCCATATTCTGTAAACCATAGTGATGATTGTGTATGTAAATCCCACTAGATGTGCAGTTTCTGAAATACTCAGACCGTCCTGTCAAACAACCCTGCCACATTCAGAGTCACCTTTCTTTCTCCTCCTGATCCTCATTTTGAACTTTCAACAGATCATCTTGACCAGGGGTGCCCAATCCTGTTCCTGGAGATCTACCTGCCTGCAGATTTCAGTTGCTACCCATATCAAACACACCTGCCTGTAATTATCAAGTGTTGTTCAGGTCCTAATTAATTGGTTCAGGTGTGTTTGATAAGGGTAGCAACTGAAATCTGCAGGAGGGTAGATCTCCAGGAACAGGATTGAGCACCCCTGATCTTGACCATGTCTACATACCTAAAGCCTAGAGCAGGGGTGCTCAATCCTGTTCTTGGAGATCTACCTTCCTGTACAGTTTAGCTCCTACCCTGATCAAACCCACCTGAACCAATTAGGACCTGAAATCCACTTGATAATTACAGACAGGTGTGTTTGATAAGGGTTGCAACTGAAATCTCCAGGAAGGTAGATCTCCAGAAACGGGATTGGCCACCCCTGGCCTAGAGAGTGTCTGATTGAATAACCCTGGTCAGAGCAACAGTGTAACATTTCTCACAGAATTTGTTTTCAAGAACCCTAGAAATTGGACACATATGCTGAACAAAACAATGCTGCGGTTCACCTCTGAACATAATGCTTGCTGTTTGTTTGTTCGCTGCATATTTCAGTCCCCGAAGCTTGATTGTTAGGGATGACAGTCGTCTGAGCCACAGCAGGCCCAGAGAGCCTGTGGTTCTAGACACTCATAAAGGGTCATGATTTATAACCACATCCTCTTTCTCTGAGTTGTAAGATGCATTCGTCTGCTAGAAGACGGCAACAAAAAGAAAATCACACTTATTTCCCTCAGTCAACTTTAACGTTACCCCTGCCGGCTTTTCAATTTATGAGTGAGATGTGAATCCCTGCGGCAATACAAATCATTCAGTGCCTCTTGCCTGCAATTCCAGGAGAAGTTCAGCGGGTCATTCCGGTGTGCTGCTTTAATCTCTGTTTATGGATTTCGTTTAGGGAAGGAGAATGTGACCATTAGGAAAATGACTCAAACGTGAAACTCCAGTGAGGATGTCAATGAACGAGGCCAGTCAGTAATGGCCAAACACACACACACACACACACACACACACACACACACACACACACACACACACACAAGGGCATGGAGAAAAAGACTGAAATGTCTGTTCTACTTTAGACTTAATGAGACATTTAAGTCAGTTTGAATATTAGTTTTTAAAATTTAAATTAAATACTAACATTTTTCTTCTTTTTTCTGAGTAATGAAATGAAAAAGAAAGCCGATGATATTAACTGAAAAAGAGAATGCATGAGTGAAAAGAATTCTAATTTAAATCTGTACAGATATTTGTAGATTCTATGGAACAAATGTATTAAAATTTCTTATTAAATAGCATCTTTTATATGTTGTTTTCTGAGTAATGTCATGAAGAGAATTCGGATAATATTGATTGATTAAATAGTATTCTGATATTCCGTTTGAATATTTGATAGTCCCAATGGAATTCCATTTCTTTTTAAAATTTTTAATTAAATTACAAATTTCCTGTATTTTTAGTAATAAAATTTAGCCATAAAGAAAATTCTGATATTTGATTCTGAAAATTCTGATATTTGATAAACAAAATTAGGTAGGTCTGTTTGAATATTTGAACATTCCATGGCATATTTAATATTCAGGATAGAATTATATTTTTTCAAATTCAAAATAAATACCACAAATTTTTATATTTTTTTCCTTTCAGTAATTAAATTAAAAAAGAGTGCTGAAATTATTCATTTTCATCTTTTTATCTAAGTAATGAAATAAAAGAGTGCTCAAGTTTTACTGAATATCATTTTTAATGAGTAATTCTAATTTTATAACAACTTTCATCTATTTTTTAGATTAATAAAACACATTCATAAACAGAATTCTGATAATGCTGATTGATAAATAGAATTCATTAATATGTAAAATATGTAATGCTATGTAAAACTGATTTGAATATTGAAAATTCCATTGAATTACCTTTTTTTAAAATTCTATTTAAATCTAACTTTTATCTTTTTTTTACAGAGTAATGCAATGCAGTCATATACAAATATAATAAATGAATAGAATACACTTTTAAAGAGAGGTCAGTTTTAAGTTTTACGTCAGTTTTTCACATTTCATGATAGAATTATATCTTTTTTCAAATTAAAAACAACATATTTAATTTTTTTTTAAGTAATAAAAAAATGAATGCTTCCATGGAATTACATTTTAAAGTATTCTAATTAGATAACAGTTTTTAAGAGTAACGATAAGCATTCATAAACAGAATTGAATAATAAAAAGAATTCCGATTTAAGAACATTCTATGGAATTCCATTTTTTAAGATTTAAATTAAATATACCAGCCTTCATCTATATTTTTCAGAGTAATGCAATGCAGCCATAAAGAAAAAGGAAATTCTGATAATGTTGATTAATAAAAAGAATGTATTGATAACACATAAATAGACAACATTGATTTACATTCATTTCAGTATTTAACATTCAGTTTTAAAAAATTTTATTAATTACCAACAAACTGCATAAAAAAAGAGCTTAACTTTTTTTTTCTTGTTTTTCATCTAAATACCAAAAAAAATAATAAATAAATAAAAATAAAAAAATTCTAGACAAGCAAAAAAAAAATACTGTCTTTTTTTAAAGAAATAATATACCAAAACTGAGTTTTTTTTTAAATCACCAAATTAATCTTCCAATGGGTTAAGCAAAATAATCTTGTTTCTCCTTTTGACACACAATTATTTAACTTAGCCTATTTGCACATTATCAAGCTTATTTTAAGGTAAATCTCACCTAATCTTGACATATTATTTCTTAAAATAAAACAGTGTGCTTTGCTTGATTAGACAAGAATTTACTAGAAACACGGCAAAAACAACAAGTAAATAAAGCATTTTTTTGCAGTGCAACTTTCATCTTTTTCCACAAGTAATGAATTGCATGGATTACCAAAAACAAAACACTGACCTTTCTGATGCAAAAAACAAACGTGCTAAATCCCACAGCTCTCCATGACACTCATCTCATAGTCCCAGACAGAATTTCTCCCGAGATTCCTCAAAGCTGTACTTGTATTTGCTCTGGAAGCTGCGTATATGTGATTGCGTTTGCTTTGCTTCTCAACACTGAGCTAGAGATCCACTGTCCAGCTGTTTTACTCTCAATTCCCCCTCCCTCTCCCTTTCAGTCCTATCATCTCTCTCTTTCTTGTTCCCCCGTCTCATTTCCATTGACGTCTTCTCGGTTTCTTTAGCGGCTGATTTATGTTTCAATTAAAGACGAAAAAGATGTCTCGCATAACTCACCAGAAAGGATGATAGCATCGTTCTGGCTTTAACTGCTGTAATTGGGATTTGATTATCTCCGTGATATCACTCAGCTCAGCGGCTCGGACTCATTGACAGGCTTCGAGTCTGTCGTCTTTTCCCATGATGCCGTGCTCAGTCGCTCATATCTGACAGAACTAATCAACATCTCGAGGCCTCTCATGTTAGCCGTCTTTGTGATGTTACTCTTCAGATGTGATGAACACTCGACGAGACCTTTAGCCATGGACACATCAGGGGCTCATATATTTATTACAAAAAGAGCTGTAATGATTTGTGAGTTAATGATTTAGGTTGGCGTGGTGCAATATATTGTTGTAGCATCGATATCCCAATGTGTGTATCCGCAATAGTCACATGGTTGGATTAGGATATTGTAGTTGAACAGGATCTACAGTTCAAACCTTACATGATTTGTTGAGTCATTGCAAACTTGAACCATGAATTGCTCAATGAGTTTATCATCTGCATGTGTTTAAACCCAGGCTCAATCTGAAAACGTACTCCTATGTACATTTTCGGAGAGCGCCAAATTAGGGTTGGGCCAATAGACGATGACATCATCCATCATCGATGGCCAATAGACAACACGATGCTGATTCGGTATCGCCGATCCTCTGCCCCGCCCCCGTTGCAAACCCGTAACCCCAGATCCCTCCTCGCTCTTCAGACAAGTTGCGTGCAGTCTATCACCCCCCCCCCCCCCCCCCAACACACACACACACTCCCCATTTTTCACATGATCGTCAAACGTGATGTTTCACATTAGACATTGTACGGAGCCAAATTTGTCGACATCGCCCAACCCAGGCCCGGATTGGCTAATCGGGAGAACCGGGAGAATTCCCGGTGGGCCGGTCCATTTTTTTGGCCACGAGGGCCGGTGTCCCTAGCTGTTTGCACTCTCAGCAGTTGCACTTTTTTTCATTTATTTATTTATTTGACCATAGCCTCACTCTTTTTATTCATTATTTTGCCGCAGCTCCGCTCTTTTTTATTTTTTTCTCGCAGCCTCGTAAACAAAATGCAGCCTGCAGATTATTAATGATGTAACTATCATCATTCGACTCTAAACAGCGGCACCTTAGTGAATGTAAGAATTCGAATAATTAATATTGATTAATAATTCACCTGCTCAATGAAAATCAGATGATTCACTACATTAATAAATCTGACCACAGCCATGTCACCCTGCAGCCCAAGACCAGTTACTCACTGAAGCTAAGCAGGGCTGAGCCTGGTCAGTACCTGGATGGGAGACCACTAGGGAACACTAGGTTGCTGTTGGAAGTGGTGTTAGTGAGGCCAGCAGGGGGCGCTCAACCTGTGGTCTGTGTGAGTCCTAATGCCCCAGTAAAAGTGAAGGGGACACTACACTGTCAGTGGGCGCCGTCTTTCGGATGAGACGTTAAACCGAGGTCCTGACTCTCTGTGGTCATTAAAAATCCCATGGGACTTCTCGTGAAAGAGCAGGGGTGTAACCCCGGTGTCCTGGCCAAAGTCCCTCTATCGGCCCTTACAATTATGGCCTCCCAATCATCCCTTTCCACCGAATTGGCTCTTTCACTGTCTCTCCTCTCCACCAATAGCTAGTGTGTGGTGAGCGCACTGACGCCGTTGTCCTGTGGCAGCCGTCGCATCATCCAAGTGGATGCTGCACACTGGTGGTGGTGTGGAGAGACCCCCCTCATGATTGTGAAGCGCTTTGGGTGTATGGCCATACACCATAAATGCGCTATATAAATACACATTACATTACATTACATTACATTACATTACATTACATAACTTGATCAGAAATCTTAAAAGTAGAGAAAAAGATTAAGCCATCAATAAAAGTCTTGCAGGTCATAGTGCAATATTTGTTAATCATTGCAGCCGCTTTAGATTAACAGTGCCACTTTGGTCCAGTGGTCAGCACGTTAAATTATGACATGGCCGACCTGTGTTCGAACCTCATCTGAAATTTTTTTTTTTTTTCATTTTTTATTGTTAAGACATATAATACTGTTAGGGTTGTTGAAAATTTGAAGTTCTAAAGCAGCTGTTTTCTTGAAAAAAGGCGTGACGGTGTCCTTAGAAACTGAATTGGAAATGACATTTTAATAGTCAGTTGTGAACTGAGATGGGCCGGTCTAAGGCTTGAAACTCCAGGGCTGAAAAGGAGTCCCACTCCGGCCCTGGCCCAACCGTTCCCCAAATTCGCCCCAGGAGCTACGTTTTTTGCTATTTTTGTTTTTGCAAATCCACCAGAGGCTTCTGTGTGTGCTTTTTGAGATCTAATTTCTCTCGTGAGTGCCATTCACGCCTGCTGTTCTCGAGTAAATATACCAGAGGCCGCTGTCGACTGACTGACGGATCAACCGATACCCACCCTCTTTCCTAAACCAAACTGATAATGTTTAAAAAAGCACCTATTGATCAGCGCCCACCCGCTTCCGTAAACCTAACCAACAGAGTTTTGTTAAGCAATCCAGAAAAAGAAAAGCCCTCGCCTGATTTTTACTACTTTTCCAGATTTTACCACATTCTCACCATGTTATTTACTTGTTTACTTTATTTTTTGCCTTCTGTTTTTGTCTTACCTGAAACCAGTTCGCCGGACTGAAACCCTGTCATCACAGTCAACTCCTCCCTGCGTCTCAAGTCTGCCGACGTATGCTACAAGCCACTAGACAAACTGGTAACAGCGGGATAGCCATTCATACAGAGGTAAGCGGTCAGCTGGTAAGTGTGAAAATGAATGGCATCATACTGCCCGTCGTGTTCATTTTAAAGACGAAATGCAGCCATACGTACTTTTGGCTACATAATTCGCAATCTCCAGAAATGTATATAGAGCTTTATTTTCAGAATGAGGCTATGTTGGTTTTTAAGGCAAGTGACTGTGTGAGCATTTCAAGCCACTTTAAACAATAAAGGTACAAGAAATAATGTGTATAACTTTAAAGGGCACCTAGGTTACCCCTTTTTTCAGATTTTATACAAGTGTTTTGCATCTCCGTCATCAGAATGTGTCTGTAAAGTTTCAGCTCAAAACACCCATCAGATTTTTTATTATACCTTTTATAAGATTCTCTTTCATACATTTTTCCACCAGGGGGGTTGTTTTGTCATACTGCGCCTTTAAGGCTAGTCCTCCTCGCCTACCGTTTCTATGTGCATTTCTGCGTGGCTCTTCCCTCGGCTGCGTCAGACAACAGACAGACTTCAAGGAAGATCGCATGTAGCATTGGTGAGAAATACTACAGATTGAACTTTACCAATGAGTATTTGTTGTGGAGATACATCGATGAGTTACACGCAATGTAAATGTACAAAGTTCACGCGCGCGCACACACAGATACACACACATACAGACCGACACATACACACACACAGACAGACAGACAGACAGAGCGCGTTTAGATTTGCACTCTTTTTGCATGCAAATGTGACAGGATACAGCTTAGTCTCCACTGCTGTATGGATATCTGTTATGTTAATATAGAAAAGAAACCTGATTTAACGTCCACAAACTGGGATTGAAGCATCTTCCTTTATAATTGTTCTGACACGCTGCTGTGCTGATGAAGTAAAGCTGAAGTAAATTGCTGTACTTTATTACACACGTGCACTGTTTAAAACATTTTTAACATGTGAAACTTACTCTTGATCACATTTGATGATGATTGATGATCCTAGCGAACTGAACAGACCTTTTATTCCCGGTTGCTTTGTGCAAGTCTGTTCTTGTTGGTATGATTATACACGTGACTACCGGGACATGTTACTACGCAAAGCTGTCAATTAATTCGGTGGGCGGGGCGACCGCACTCTTACGTCAAGTTGCGGTCGGTCTGAAAACTGCTCCAATTGCTCCACCGTTTTTATGTTGTTAAATTGGACTGGGTGTGTTTATATCACCCCAATGTGACGGTCTGTACACTAGATCTACACATATGTCTGTCCAAACAGCTTAAAAAGTAGATTTTTCACCATAGGTGCCCTTTAAGAAAGATTTTTTTTTTTTATGTGCATGTACAATGAAGATACTCTATACAGTGTTATTTAACATTTGATTGTTTAATTTGTGCCTGCATCCTTCTAGAGTCCCAGATAACCATAAATTAGGACTTGTTTCATTTGAATCTTGGGTCTAAATGAACACCCCTTCAAGTAAAGTGTCACCCATTTGTCCATTCTAATAAAATTAAAGAAAATTCTGAAGTAAATACATATAAATGTTTAGATGTTTTATATATAGATAGTTATTTACTTATATATTTTATTCATTTGTTTTATATTTACAGATTAAACTCAACAAAGTTAAACGAAACTAAACTAAATTATTGGGACTATAAATAAACATTTTTACAATTCCTTTTGTTTACGATGAAAATGAGGTTTTCATGGATTCGTCATTTAATCATTGATGCTAATGAAGAGCCTTAATTTTCAATTCATTTCATCTTTATTTGTATAGCGCTTTTACAATGTAGATTGTCAAAGCAGCTTCACATAGAAGATTATAGTGAATGGAAACAGTGTCAGTTCAGTTTTCAGAGTTTACGTTCAGTTCAGGTCAGTGGGGTTTAATATTCACAGCTGAGAGTCCAAACACTGAAGAGTAATTATTATTTAACTATTAAATAGATCTTTTTGTTAAAAATGAAAATATGCTGTTAGTTTAATCACCTTTAGACCACGATTTAGGTGATTTTTTTTTTCTACAGAACGTAAAGGAAGATTTTTAGCTCTTTGGCGATTCAGTCAATGGTTACCATTCCTCTGAGAGTAAAAAATAAATAAATAAAAAGACAGCAAAATGAAATTAATACCCAAGGCTCCTGATAATACTTTGATATCTTTTGAAGTAAAATGATCAGTCTGTGACAGAAATTGAACATTTTTAACAACAATAATGTTCAATTTCTTGGATGGCCTGAGGGTGAGTACATTACCTGCAAATTTACGTTTTCGCTTGCACTTTCCCTATAAGCGTGTATGTCAGCCAGGTGTCACATTTGAACATATTCTTCAGGTTGTAGGGTCAGTTCTTACTTTATATATAAAAGATTGAGAGGCAAAAATGACAAGCTACTATGTCCACTTTTGATTTTGATACAGTTGAAGTCAAAATGATTAGCCCTCCTGTGAATTATTATTTATTTTATTTTTTTTTATATTTCCCAAATGATGTTTAACAGCAAGGAAATTTTCACAGTATGTCTGATAATATTTTTTCTTCTGGAAAAAATCTTATTTGTATTATTTTGGCTTGAATAAAAACAGCTTTTCATTTTTTTAAAGCCATTTTGAGGTCAATATTATTATTAGCCCCCTCACACCATTTTTATATTGTCTAGACTCTACAGGACAAACATCGTTATACAGTGACTTGCCTAATTACCCTTACTTGCCTAATTAGTTAAGCCTTTAAAAAGCACTTCAAGCAGAATACTAATGTCTTTAAAAATATCTAGTAAAATATTATGTGCTGTCATCATGGCAAAAACAAGAAATCAGTTATTAAAAATGAGTTATTAAAACTATTATATTTAGAAATGTGTTTAAAAAATCTTTACGTTAGGCAGAAATTGAGGAAAAATATACAGGGGGGCTAATAATTCTGCCTTCAACTATCAACAAATCATTTCACAAAATAGCTCAGTGTTGTCTGATCAGATCTCGTTGTTATCTCGCAAACTGAATTTGTATCACGTCTGTCTGTCCACAGAGAGTCTGGCGGGGACTGGCATATGGATGGAGCTTCAGATGCAAGCGGTGGGGCAGAGCTATGCATGTCAATAGGACAGAGGCGTCGCTCCTCCTGGGACGGTCTTATCTCTTCCGCTCGCTGCACTGAAGACACAGAGCACAGATAATAGATGGGTGCTAAGCAGAGCATGACTGTCTGCCACAGCTCCCTGTCGCTATCGGTTTGTATCTTCGATGGGAATTGTGTTTTGGTAATAACGAATTTTGCGTTCTTAGTCATTGATCTTCATTGATCCATTTTGATCTCTGTGTCTCTTAAAGGGACAGTTCATAAAAAAAAAAAAGAATGAAATATTGTCATCATTTATTTACCAGCTCGTTGTTCCAAACCTGTAAGAACTGATTTGTCTGCGCAGAGAAGGTCATGGCGGTACAAAGTATTGATCTTCATTGGAAGTAAATTTCAAAAAATGTTGTGATGGTGAAAATGAGAAAACCACACGAGGAATGTACAAGCAGCTAGAGAACAAACAGAGGTAAGAAATAATATATCATATACAGTTGAAGGCAGAATTCTTAGCCCCCCTGAATTATCAGCCCCCCTTTTTATTTTTATTTTTTCCCAATTTCTGTTCAACAGAGAGCAGATTTTTTTCAACACATTTCTGCATATAATAGTTTTATTAACTCATCTCTAATAACTGATTTATTTTATCTTTGTCATGATGACAGTAAATAATATTTGACTAGATATTTTTTTCAGAAACTTCTACACAGCTTAAAGTGACATTTAAAAACTAAACTAGGTTAATTAGGTTAACTAGGCAGGTTATGGTAATTAGGCAAGTTATTGTATGATGATGGTTTGTTCTGTAAACTATCGAAAATATATAGCTTAAAGGGGCTAATAATTTTGTCCCTAAAATGTTTTTTTTTAATTAATAACTACTTTTATTCTAGCCAAAATAAAACTAATAAGACTTTCTCCAGAAGACAAATTATTATCAGACATACTGTAAAAATTTCATTGCTCTGTTAAACATCATTTGGGAAATATTTAAAAAATAAATAAAAAATTCAAAGGGGGGCTAATAATTCTGACTTCAACTGTATATAAAAAAAAAATTATTCATACCCCTAGCAAATGTACATTTTTATTTATTTTTTATCTTTTTGGACCGGAAATGAAACAGGCTTCCCCCAAAAGATAATAGGATGATGTACAAGAGACATCATTGTGGGGAAAAAAAACATTTCTCAGGTTTATTGACATTTGAACGACTTTTCAATCCTTTCTTTTATTTGTTCTTCTGCTTAGTTGCTTATTCATCAGGGGTCGCCACCACAGCGGAATAAACCCCCAACATATATATATATGTTTTACAAACCCAGGCCCATTATTATTATTATTATTATTATTATTATTATTATTATTATTATTATTATTATTATTATTATTATTATTATTATTATTAGTGATATTAAATATTTTGGCAACGCGGTGGCGCAGTAGGTAGTGCTGTCGCCTCACAGCACGAAGGTCGCTGGTTCGAGTCTCAGCTGGGTCAGTTGGCATTTCTGTGTGGGTGTACCCCACAAGTCTAAAGACGTGCTATAGCAAAGTCCCTTTAAGGTAAGTCATTCTTTGAAATGCCAGAATCTCGGAGTTATCTTTGATCCACTCTTGCAGTTTGACAAACATGTAAATGCGGTTGTGAAGAGCAGTTTCTTCCAGCTTAGATTGGTGGCAAAAGTTAAACGCTTTCTTTCTAAAAAAGATTTAGAAATCGTAACCCATGCTTTAATCTCCTCTCGGTTAGACTACTGCAATTCTTTGTATATTGGCCTACCTCAGTCAACACTCTCTCGGCTACAGCTGGTCCAAAATGCAGCCGCCTGATTAATAAGAGGAACTAAGAAAAGAGATCATATCTCCCCTGTCCTTGCCTCATTGCACTGGCTACCTATAAAATACAGGGTTGATTTTAAAATTCTTCTTTTCACTTATAAAGCTTTGCACAATTCTGCCCCGGCCTATGTCAGCGAGCTTATTAGGCCATATACAGCTTGTAGATTCTTAAGATCACATGATCAGTTTCTTTTGTCTGTCCCTCGGTCTCGCTGCAAGTCAAAGGGTGATCGAGCTTTCAGTGTTGCGGCCCCAAGGCTCTGGAATAGTCTCCCTCTGAACATCAGAATCTCTCCTTCTTTGGATGCTTTTAAATCTAACTTAAAGACACATTTTTACTCTCTTGCCTTTGACTGATGCATGCATGTTATTTTTGTATTATTTATATTTTAGTATTATTTTTAAATATATTTTATTGTATTTTTAATACCAGTTATTTTTAGTTTTATTGTCTAGTTTATTTTATTGTATAGCACTTTGGATCAACTACGGTTGTGTTAAATTGTGCTCTATAAATAAAGTTTGCCTTGCCTTGCCTTGCCTCTCGGGCAGTATGCTTGGACATTCTGTTTGAATGGGGAAACATCAAATTCTCCAAAAATACTTGCCAAGCTTGCGATTACATTTCATATTACGAACAACCAATAAAATTAAACAACAATTGTCTATTTAGTTTAATTTCTAAATGTTCGATTCACACAAAATCTGCAGAAGCTCATGTCTAGTCCAAGCCCCTGCTCCTGAGAATTGTCATTCTATATAGATCGCTGATTGGCTTCTGTACTAGAAGGCGGGCTTTATTCACCATATAGCGATCGCTGATTGGCTCCTGTACTTTTACATTTGGCAAGATTTTACAATAATAATAGATTTAGTTTACTGTAAATGATCATTTTCTGATAGTTTCAAGCATTGTGAGTTCATTTTGAGTGAGTACATTTCAAGTCAAGTCAGAATAAAAAATTGACTTTCTTTTTTCACCATTCACCAGAGTATTCGCTTGCTTCATCAATGTGCAAGGATGCCAGTTAGAGGGCATTTTCTGCCTGTAGACATACAATATATTGGCGGCGTTCCACTGTCAGCTCAGATGCCCACCGGGGACCGCTAGTACCCGTCCTCCGTCCCACTGTGTCTGATCCTGTCCTTTGGGTCTTTATAATTGCTCGAGCTAATGCCGGCGCTCAGGCTCATGAGTGAATGCTGCTGGATTTTGATAAGAACAGCGCCTTGGCTGATTTTCCCTCTAATCCATAAAACTGTAAATAATCTGAGGTTTCTTGTTCCCCCGATGCGTGTCATTCTGCATCTGAATTCAGTTCTTTTCAGTGATAGATTTCGCTTGGAGAGTCAGAGAAACACACAGATTTATTTCTTAATACTCATGGAGACATTGTCTATATATAGCCTCTTTATTCATCAAGGGTCGCCACAGCGGAATGAACCATCAACTTATCTAGCATCAGGGGATGCCTTTGAAGCTGCAACCCAGTACTGGGAATAATCCATACACACTCATTCACACAGATGAGGCCAATTTTTTAGCCAACCAGGGGAGAACATGCAAACTCCACACAAAAGTGCTAACTGACCCAGCCGGGACTCAAACCAATGACTTCTTGCTGTGAGGCGGCAGTGCTAACCACTGAGCGTCTTTGAGATGCATTATAGGACTTGATTTTTCTTTCAACAACATTTGAAGCTGGAAAAAGTTACTTTTATTAATATTTGTAATTATTTGTTATGATCTAGTGTCTTGGGTTGATGTTGTAAATTATGGTACAAACCTGGTGAACTTTTTTTTTCACGTTACAGACTTAATCATATATATTTATTATTTATATATATATATATATATATATATATATATATATTTATTTATTTATTTATAATTATTTATTTATAATTATTTATTGTACTATATATTGTGTGTATAATGCGGTGGTTCAGTAGGTAGTACTGTCGCCTCACAGCAAGAAGGTCGCTGGTTCGAGCCTTGGCTGGGTCAGTTGGCATTTCTGTGTGGAGTTTGCATGTTCTCCCCGCGTTCGCGTGAGTTTCCTCTGGGTGCTCCGGTTTCTTGCACAGTCCAAAGACATGCGGTACAGGTGAATTTGGTAGGCACTTTGATAAACTTCACAATTGAATTTTCAACATCAAAAGTTGACAGAGCAGAGATTTAAGCCCCGATGTAATTCACAACTGTAAATAATCAGAAAACACCTGGGACAAACAAATAACAAAATAGGGACGTTTTTATGGACATATTTGTTTACATTCAAATATATATATTTTTTCTGACTACTTGTATTAACAAAAATGAAGGATGACAAAAAAAACTATTGTGGTTATTATTACATTGTAAAACCCAAAAGTAGACTTTATCAAATGAAATGAGAGTAGTTAACCCAAACTGAGTGAAAGTTAATTCTACTAAGAATTTTAAAACTCAGTGTTGAAGATAATCAGTGAATTAAATACCTCATTACTTCAACTTAAATGGAGTAAGTTCACAGTACTCATTGGGATAATTTTTTTAAACTTAAATGGTTTGTTGCAATTGGTTTACTTATATGATTTAAGTTACCTTAAATATACTTTACAGTGTAATAATTTGTCAACTTTTTAGCATTTAATTCATTCAACAGGTTATTGACTGAGTTTATTTAAAATGATAGGTTCTGTAGGTTGTTTTGGTTGAAATCAGTTGCTCAAATAATAAATAGGAAAACAAATGATATTTTTATCCTTATTTGTTGGTAATCCCTTCAAAAAACATCTGATCTCTAGCTCAAAAAGCAAAATGAAATCTTGATTATGATCCGTTTAGCTATTTACAAGTATTAGGCCTACCTTCAAGGGCATTTTTTAAAATATATAATTATTTATTTATGTTTAAGGCGACGCGGTGTAGGTAGTGCTGTCGCCTCACATCAAGAAGGTCGCTGGTTTGAGCTTCGGCTGGGTCAGTTGGTGTTTCTGTGTGGAGTTTGCATGTTCTCCCTGCGTTCGCATGGGTTTCCTCCGGGTGCTCCCGTTTCCCCCACAGTCCAAAGACATGCGGTACAGGTGAATTAGGTATGCTAAATTGTCCGTAGTGTATGAGTTTGAATGAGTGTGTATGGATGTTTCCCAGAAATGGGTTGCAGCTGGAAGGGCATCCGCAGCTTAAAATATATGCTGGATAAGTTGGCGGTTCATTCCGCTGTGGCGATCCCGGATTAATAAAGGGACTACAGGGTCAACAGTCCTGAGTGCTTTCAGTCTCGAGTGTGAACTTCCTATTCAACTTAGCTTTAGATGCGCTTAATTCCCATTTCACACCAGAAGGCCAAATGTTAACGCACAGCATTCACTGACAAGGCCGTCTGAAGCGTTTTTGATCAGACTGTGTGTTAACATGAGGACTAAAGGGTCATGCTGATAATGAATCTCCATCTCACCCTCAGTCTGCTCTTCTGCTTTTGACAAGAATGTCACGTTTGAAGGAGCGTCGTGACTGAAAACGGCACATGCCAGTCAGGATTATCCTCTAGGCATTATGGGAAGGTTTACACAGCGGAGCATGTCAGAGAAACAGTCCATGGAGTGCAGCTCTCTCTTTCTGTATTTCCCTTTTCTCCCGCTTGAGATGATGCTCTCTGCATAGTAATCTGAGTCTCAGGGGTCTCCGTTTTTCTTCTGACAGCTCAGACTGAATCGCCTACGAGTGGACTAGAAACTTTCCATCCTGTTATACAGAAAGGTGTGTTCAGGAACTGAATATTTGTAAACCGAGAACATTTATTCACTATTTAAACATTCTGAAGTGGTTATAAAACCCCCTGTTGTACATAAAAGAAGGTATTTTGAAGAAAGCTGAAACCTGTCATCATTGACATGCACAGTAGGAAAAAACACATGCTATGGAAGGCAATAGTTACCGCTTTTCATTTGTGTTCCACATAAAAAAGAAACTCATAAAGGTTTGGAAGCACTTGGGGGTGGGTAAATAATGAATACATCTTAATTTTAGTGTGAACTATCCCTTTAAGACAGTGGTTCCCAAGGTGGGGGTCGGGATAGGGTTTAGGTAAAGCCAATTGCCAATTATAGAGGGGAGGGGGGGTAAAATCACTTTCTGGCCTTTAGATATTTGGCATGGAGTATATAATATATATATATATTGCGATCATGATTTTCAAATGTATTATATCGCTTTGTAAGCGTTTATTATTACCATTTGTGGAACAGTTTGATATATCACTTGGACCCGGATGCCGCTTCGTGTGACGTCACAAGCGGAACTGCATATAACGTTCAAAAGTACAATGTGTAGATGTACTGTAAGTACTTTTAAGTTTCGAATTTATTATAAAATATTATTTCTTAACTATAAAGCTTTAAATAATCTAGCTCCTGTTTATCTTTTTTTAATTATTTTTTCTGGGTTTTCAACTTTATTGGATAGGACAGTAGAACTTTAACAGGAAAGCATGGGGAGCAGAGAAAAGGGAAGGATCAGCATAGGACCGCAAGGCAGGAATCGAACTCGGATCGCCGTGAGCACCGGAGGGCATGCATCGACGCACTAACCACTGGCGCCGACAGCTCCCGTTTATCTAACCAATATTCTGTCTCGTTACAATTCAACCTGCTCTTTAAGATCTCAAAACTCAGGGCTTCTTTTAGTACCTAGAATAGCCGAGAATAGTCGAGTAAAGGAGGTCGAGCCTTCTCATATATGGCTCCTAAACTCTGGAATAGCCTACCTGATAATGTCTGAGGCTCAGACACACCCTCGCAGTTCAAAACTAGATTAAAATCTTTTTAGTAAAGCATACACTCAATGCTTCACATAGTGGTATGATGCATGAATGTGCTCCACGCAGATTTTTGCATCTCGATTATATACACTATGAACAGCAGCTACGCTAATTATTCTCTTTATTCTCTATTTCCACCTGGGGATACTCGTCCCGAGGCCCCCAGAGATTTTGCAGCGCCACTGATGTGATCCAAGACCTGTGAAGAGATGATCCCAGGGTTTCCATAATCCCGGACCAGGCTGTATCTGGAGCGGTTTCTCTCGAGGTTTTTTATCCTTCACTTTCGCCAGTTATTGAATTTTTTTCCTCACCGCTGTCGCCACTGGCTTGCATGGTTCGGGACTTGTAGAGCTGCGCATCCATGGATTTACTCTTCAGTGTTTGAACTCTCAGCAGTGAATATTTAACCACACTAAACTGAACTTAAACTCTGAAAACCGGACTGACACTGTTTCAATTTACTATAATCTTCTACGTGAAGGTGTTTTGACACAATCTACATTGTAAAAGTCCTATAAAAATAAAGAGGAATTGAATTGAATTTTAAAGATGGGTGTATTAACACAATAAGTTAATGAAATATGGTAGTTTACCTTTAAAATGTAGAAATTTATTTGACAAATTTTACCGTGTTTTTACTGGTCAAACTTTGGCAACCACAGCTGCCAGTTTTTACTGTAATTTGACAGATTTTTTTACAGGGTGTAAGTGTTCTGTAAAACATTTTGAGATTGTAAATGCTGATGTGGTCGATTCATGTGAAAATCTTCTCATTGTTACCAGTTTTGATTTTGCCACAAACCCGCAGCATTTGGTGTAGTCTTGCGGGTATCAGAGCAGAAATGAAAGCTGCCGTACTCTACATTGCCTCCTTTTATGTTTTTATGTAAATCGGGCAATATGAGATCAAAAGATCAGAAAAGGTCCATTCATATACAGTACACGTACACCCAACCATAGACCCTCTTCTCAAAGGCTTTACAAAAGCTGATAGAATGTGTTTTCATGAAACTGTTTGAATGCGTATTAATGTGCACCCTAAAAATGCTGGGTTGTCATAACCCAATGTTGGGTCAAAAACCAGTGTTATTTAACCCCAGTGTTGGGTTTGCCCATATTTGACCCAATGTTGGGTCACAAAAACTCAACGCATTAGTGTAAGATCTGTCTTTTGCCTCAATTATTAACATTCATGACCAAAGAAATGTATGATTCATACATTAATTTTCTTTTTGGCTTAGCAATCGATTATAAAACTAAATTTTTAATTAAATTGAGCTTTTCTTAGAGAAACTACAGATCAACAATACATTCAGTTGATATTTTTAGGTTTGAATTAAAGTTTTAAAACATTTTCTAAGGTTTAATTGTTTAAAATGGTCTGAGTATACTATTTCAGTGTTTCAACCTCAAATTTTTTTTCCCAGTGCTGGGTTGCAGCTGGAAAGGCATCAGCTGTGTAAAACATATGCTGGATAAGTTGGTGGTTCATTGCGCTGTGTCAACCCCTGATAAATAAAGGGACTAAGCCAAAGAAAAATGAATGAATGAACATCCAAATTTTAGTTTCATTCTTTGTTACTCGCATCTGCTTGGTAATTAATTGTACAATTTTGTTGATTTTTTTTTATCTCCTAGAAGTTGTAGGTACTACATAAATGCATATTTAATCACTGTCTTGTCTCTTTTCACTACAGTTATGCAGTTAACTTTTACCAGAGCAACTCGAGTCATGCCAGCTGAGCTTCAGGAAAGTGTGAAACTCCATCAGACTATTGGCAGCACACAGCCCTCAGCTATAAACTGGCAACGACACAGCACAGCAAATACGAGGGAAAACTGGAAATTTATAGCCGTACCTGAGCTGCCGCTGCTGCTGGATTGTCGGCTGCAGTGCATCACAATAATAGAATGGCAAGCATCCAATTCAATCTAGCTCTCAGGCACCTCAAATGTACATTCATATACAGTTGAAGTCAGAATTGTTAGCCCTCCTGAATTATTAAATAATTTATTTATTTTATCTTTAATATGATGACGGTACATAATATTTTACTAGATAATTTTCAAGATACTAGTATTTAGCTTAAAGTGACATTTAAAATCTTAATTAGGCAGGTTAGGGTAATTAGGCAAGTCACTGTATAAAGATAGTTTGTTCTGTAATCGACTGAAAAAATATTGCTTAAGGGGCTAAAAATTTTGGCAAATTTTGAACTGCTTTTATTCTAGCCGAAATAAAACAACTAAGAACTAAGTTCACTGTACCCAAATGGCCTCCAGTCACCAGACCTCAACCCAACAGAGCACATTTGGGATGTGGTGGCACGAGAGATTCGCATTATGGATGTGCAGCTGACAAATCTGCAGCAACTGCGTGATGCTATCATGTCAATATGGACCAAAATCTCTGAGGAATATTTCAAGTACCTTGTTGAATCTATGAACGATTAAGGGAGATCTAAGGGAGTCCAACCCGATACTAGTAAGGTGTACCTAATAAAGTGGCCAGTGAGCGTACGTCATCCAATCAGAATCAAGCATTGAACATCTCCTTTTTTATAAAATACATTTAAAGAACTATTAGTCAGATTGCAGTTACATTTATTGATTGCATAATGTGAATTCTTGTTGTGAAATATGATATCTTAGTAGCACTAATTATAGATTCAGTGTGAAACAAACAAACATTTGAAACCTAAACTGGAATACTTCAGTAGAGTACTGTCATTTTCATGTTTAATAATGTTTATTTGTGTAATTCAGGAAGCATTTGACTCCATTATAAGACTCCGCTTTTAAGTTTATCTTTAAAACTTTGCTAACCGTTTACATTCACAAACAGCTCAACAATAAAGGCAAAGCACAGCAGGGGCCCTTCAAATCTGCGCTAAATTGTGTTTGTTGTTGTGAATGCTTCTTTCCATGTGATCCTGAGCTGTTTGTGTATGACATATTGAATTCTGGCCTGCTGTATTTTATTGTAATGAGAACTTTAATTGGATTTACAGCGGCTTTGTAGTCTGACACCTGCAGAGAATCTCATTTCTCAAGAAGTCCCCGGTCAAGGCTCATGCTGTAAGATATTCAATTCGGAGCGCGCTTTGCTGGAGTCAGACTTAAATTAGAGCCCACGCTGGTGCAAATATCCCCAGTATCTAGAAATGCAAACATGTATTGCAACTAGTATTTCTTGTGAATCATGGCTGTTGACAAGACTGTGTCCTGCTGTGTGACACACTGCTTTTCTTCCTCCAATTTTTCTTAGTTGTTATAATTAATATTCAAGCATTATGCTTTACCTAAATGTACATTATACTCAAAAATCCATTGTTTGCACTGCAGGTTTCATATGAATTGCAAAACAGGGCGATTAAATATAGCGATTTAAAACAGTCATCCAAAATGAACACTGTATTTATTTTATAAATTAATTTAACTTCGGCCTAGTCTCTTATTTATCAGAGGTTGCCACAGCGGGATGAACTGCCAACTATTCCATCATATGTTTTACACAGCAGGCGCCTTTCCAGCCGCAACACAGTACTGGGAAACACCAATACACACTTAGATTTGCACACACACTCATACACTACGGCCAATTTAGTTTATTCAATTCACTATAGGTGTAGATATAGGTGGGGTGCAGCTGGAAGGGTATCCGCTGTGTAAAACATATGCTGGATAAGTTGGCAGTTCATTCCGCTGTGGTAGCCCCTGATGAATAAAGGTACTAAGCAAAAGGAAATGAATGAATGAATGAATGAATAGTGCTTTCACATACATTGGAAACATTCTCAAAAATGATCCCTGTCCACACAGGTTTATTATTCATGCCAGGTCTGTAGATGGCGCTGTTACTTTGTAAGGGAACACGATGGGCCCTATCATACACCCGGCGTAATGTGATGCAAAGCACAACGCAATTGTTTTAAAAAGGTTGTTTAATAGACCAGAACAAGCTGGTCTATTGTCCAGTGCAGAGCGCGTTAGTTATGCGCCTTGCTTACACACTGCTTAATACACACAAGATGTAGAGCAATACACAAATATCCTTACATTTGAAAAAGAATTTAAATATTAAGGATATATATATATATAGGATATAATAAGGATATAAATATAAAGGATTAAAATATTACAAAACATATAATTTTCTAGCCTACATAAATATAAAAACAAACTTTCATGCCTTCTTCATCTCGGTTTTTTATTTTTTTTTTCAGTTTATTCGTGACTATTTGCTTTTGTACAATGTTATTATTATTATCAGTGTTATTTATTATATGCATATTTATATTTGTTTTATTAAAAACAAGCTTAGATTTGTCCATCTTGCAGGTTTTAGACCATACGTGGCACAGCATGTGTACTTGGATATAACTCAGTTTTTTGAGCACACTTTGTTAATATTGTTCATTTTTTCGTTTGCTGGAAATTAGAACTGAATTTAGAAACAATTTTTAAACAAATCTTTGCGCTTAACAAACAAAACTAATTATTTATAGGGTAATTGATGTCTGTGCGTACAAGGTTTCCCTATCCACGAGAGTGAAAGTGAAAGTAGATGAGAGGCCTTCTCTCTTATTCTCTTGCTGTAGATGATCTGTTTAACTGTTTTCTCTCTTGTGAAGCGTTCAGTTTTTCCACTTATAAAGTCCGTCATGTAAATAGCAAATACGCTATGGCGTGATGCAACTGACTCTTAAAGGGAATGGGAGATGAGACTGATTGGTTTAATCTCAAAACACCTATAACTCATTAAGAAATAAGCTTAACCCTTTTAGACCATGCGCCACGGTGCAAAGCCTATTTTTCCATTCTTTTATTAGCAAAAGTGGTTTCTGACACGCCCTAATTGCGTTTGCGCCCTGCGCTTTGCACTTTGCGCATGGATCGTCAAAATAGAGCCCTATGTGTCAATGAACATACAGTCCTGTATTTTGCCATCGTTGTTTTCATTGTTAAAGGTCCCATGAAGTGCTTGGAAATGTGCATTTTTATATGATTTTTAGCCTAATCTCAACCGAAACACGAAGAGAGGGTGGGACATAGTGTAGCTCCTCCCCTTTATGAAAAACAGCCAATAACATTTTGTTTTATGAACGCTCTGTCGGTGAGAGTGGTTGAACTCAACCGCATCAAGTGAAAAACAAATGCGTCTTTAAGGGGGCGGGGCATACTAGAGAGCATTTGATTGGTTATGATTTAATGAGAACCTTAAGTATGAGGTAACGTTGATCCATTTAGGCGGAAGTGGCAAACTACAAGCTTTACATGTTTAAAACAGTTTTATATTTTCTAAATGCAAGATTTAGTCACAGTTTTGGGGTACACTAGCTTATAGTTATGTTTAAAGCAGTAACAATACAGACACTAAGATCAAAAAATCTTTATTTTTAATTTCATATGTGGTTTCACTGTCCACCTTACTTTTCAATGCAGAAATGAATGTGTGAGACTACAGATTCTTCATTAGCGCTATATGGAAAGAACGTAGACAATAATAAAGTGCTCAACATTGTTCATTTCGTCGATGACGTTAAAGATGACACGTTCACAAACAGAAACTTGACAGGTCTTCTGTTTCAGTTGCAGTGTTGGGAATAGTTACTTTTGAAAGTAATGCATTACATTATACAGGTGTCAAATCCAGTTCCTGGATGGCCGCAGCTCTGCACAGTTTAGTTTAACCCTAATTAAACACACTTAATAAAACTGAGTCGTTCAGGCTTGTTAGAAACCTACAGTTGAGTGTGTTAAAGCAGGGTAGGAACTAAAGGAATTTGTGCAGAGCTGCAGCCCTCCAGGAACTGGATTTGACACCTGTGCATTACAATATTTAATTACTCCCCAAAAAAGCTAGTTGAGTTACTTTTTATGGAAAGTAATGCTTTACATACTTTTGAGTTACCTTTTTATTTCTGGCTGACACTTGATCTCTTTCAGAACTTGTTTTTTTCCCTTTCTTTTTTTAATAGAGTTCTGTAATTAACAAAGCACTGTATAACCTACACCTACATTTACCTTTACAAAAAACAAAAAATAGGATAATGTTAGCTGAGAATTTCCTAATCCCAGAGCTTTACATGTTGTATGTACAAATTAATGAAAGATTAAAGCAATGTGTTCCCTACTTTTGTACTGTTTGTCTTAAGTAAAATCACTGTCCACTGAGAATATAATCCCCTTTTTCTTTTCTTCAAGGTTTTCAAAATAATGAACACATTCTCCCATTGAATGCATGATTCATTGTGACTCCTTTAATTTTAATTTAGCAATTTATTTATTAAAAGCTAATTAATTAAACTAAAAAGTAACTCGTAATCAATCATTCATTTTTTTTTCGGCTTAGTTCCTTTATCAATACAAGGTCGCCACAGTGGAATGAACCGCCAAATTATCCAGCATATGTTTTACACAGCAGATGCCCTTCCAGTTGCAACCCATCGCTGGATAACACCCATACACTCTCATTCACACACATACACTACAGACAATTTTAGCCTACCCAATTCACCTATAGCGCATGTCTTTAGACTTGTGGGAGAAACTGGACAACCTGAAGGAAACCCACGCAAACATGAGGAGAACATGCAAACTCCACACAGAAATGGCAACTGAAACAGCCGAGGCTGGAAACAGCGACCTTCTTACTGTGAAGCGATTGTGCTACCCACTGTGCCACCATGCTGTCCGTAACTCCAATATTACTTTATTTTTTAATTTAATGTGTGCATTTACTTGTCATATAGAAAAGTATTATTACATAACTCAAATTACTTGTAATGTGTTACCCCCAACACCAACGTTAGTTAAATGATTCGTTATTATTATTATTTTGTCTAGTTTTATTTATTATCATCAACCATATTCCATGTTGAGAGTCACTGTTAGTATCTAATGATATCCATGTTGTCCCTTCAAACATTTTTCATCTTGTTTTCATTGACAAAATTATTACATAAGTGCAGTAAACTGGGAAACATTCATTTTCTTTTCGGCTTAGTCCCTTTATTGATCATGGGTCGCCA